AAGAGCCAATTATTATTTTTTAAATGAATTCAAATTAATGTTTTCAGGATATTTATAATAATTGTAGAAAGGTTTCAGGTTCAAGAACAGAGGAGGGAAAGCCGCGGTACCTCCAATGAAATTAAATAGAAAATTCACGGATTAAAATTTTCAGTAGCATTCCCCTGCTCTCTATCGGAACGATATAAGTAACTGGGGAATCCTTGAAACCTATTCAATCAAGTAGGGTCCTCACACCAACCTTAGTACTTGTTCACTTGACTCCCAGTGGTTTTTCTCCGTATATTTTGTTCTAATATAAATAACCCCTTAGCAGACAACGGAAAACCCATTACAAGACCCATTACTATTTATTTAATGTATTTTAGAACGCAACAGAGATAAAAACGCTCGTGTACAACAAGCCTAATTTCGTTCTTCGCTCATTTACAACTCCCATATCTAATTTTCAAATTTTATGAAAAGCCACATGATTCTACTATAAAAACACATGTATTTTATTTATTTATACATCTAAACTGACATATTTCAGAATTATATATATCACTTTAAACTAGAAGTCTTTCAATTTCATGTTGAATTGATTGGATTTGTGATTTGAGCTGTGAACCATCATTTGTAGTAACAGAGCAAGCAACAATTGGTCGCGACACACCGCATGCACGACCAAGCGCCTGCTTGGAGCGCACAAACACATAAGGAACGTTTTTATCTTCACACAGAAGAGGTAAATGCAATAGAATTTCGATGGGCTCCGTATCAGCAGCCAAAATGATAATATCAGAAAGGCCTCGATTAAGCGTTTTGGTGGCTTCATTAGCTCCTTTACGTAGTTGATTATAGTTTAGCGCTTGCTGCAACAAATTCATGATTTTCGCCGTGAGCTGAGCATCAGCTAGCGGGAATGCTTTCGGGCTTACTTCCTCGGTCTAGAAACAGTATATCCTTTTTGTGAAAAGCAGATGGATAATATGTATTCATAACTTACCATTTTGTTAATATTTTGATTGTTATATATTGAAATCTGGAATATTTTAATGCAACCTCTCGGCCGAATGCTTCACTGAGGGCAGAAGAATAATAAATAAGAAAAGAAAAGCGGGTAAACAAGAAGTGCAAAAGCAAAACACGTGTAGGGTTGCCAAGTCATATTGCTACATGGAGTATTTTAACCTCGCAACTACACATTCTACTAAATGTGTCTTGACATCAGTGTTGCCAGAACTTTTTGGGCCGACCGGCTAGATTGGCAAAAAAAAGCGGCTAAAAACGGCTAAAATGTTTTAGTGAAAATCCATATGCTTTATTTAAATAAATCGCAAGAAACGAAAGACTAATTAACACTTCCTTTTTGGTTGTTGTTGTTTCCGACAGGGTGGGTGTATGATGTATTATGGAACGAATTTCCGTCATCCCTTGTCAAATTTGGTTTGGAGACAAACCGGTTTCGGCGTTGTGCCATCTTCAGTGTCATTTTTCGTTCTCGAGAACGGTTTGTCTCCAAACCAAATTTGACAAGGGATGACGGAAATTCGTTCCATAATACATCACTAATTAACACCATTAATTTATATCGAGTGTATATTCCTCATCATCAAATGAATCACTATTGTATATATCACCTGAATTCATTAATTTTAAGAGATCATCATCTACAGTAAAATTATGGCAGCATTTTTCTTCACGTTTTAAACCGTATCTTATATATAAAATAGCGTTTAACGTTTTAACACACATTGGATTTCTTTGCTTAGTTTTTATTATATTCATTGAACTAAATATTCGCTCTACTTCTGCATTACTTATAGGCAAAACAAGAAAACTAAAAACTAGGTTGCAAAGGTCAGCAAAAGGGTTTTCTCCTAGGGCATTTCGAAATTGATAAACTTCGGCCCAAAAATGTACAGTTGAGTCTAAATTACTCCAGGTATGTAACGTTAACCGTTGCTATTGCATCTCTATGGATGTTATTTCGTCGGCGTTATATTTGTGTTTTTGTTGCTGTAGTTGAACTAATACTTTTGGTTTAATTACTCTTAATGCATTTCCAACCGAAAAAAGTCAATTTTTTTTAGTGTGGCAATATTTGTAGGGAGGCGTTGGCGTAATTCCTTTATTAAAGTGATAATAAAATAGCGACCATTTTCTCGAATTATTTTCTCGGCTTCGTGGTCAAAAGCGTTTGTGCTTACTTTTGTTTTTAAATATTCTTCAAAACTGTGATAAAACTGAGGAAATGGAGCAAGGTATGGTTCCAACGGGGAGCATATAGGATGAAATGTGTCCGCGCTAATAACCACTAGGGAGCATAGATGCGAAAGTAAAACATTGAGTTCATTAAAAATCTTCATTAGGTCTGCATTATTGCTTTCGAACAACTTGTTTACTTTTTGCACCTGAAAATTAGGCAAATAGTAAAATCGGCTAAAAACGGCTTACTTTTTTTTACAAACCGGCTAACAAATCGGCTGCCGGCTAGATCGAATTTTCTCCGGCTGGTTGCTATCAAAACCGGCTAAATCTAGCCGGAAAACGGCTAAAATGGCAACGCTGCTTGACATCGGTCAATTTTAACTTAACAGCCCTATTCGTGTGTTGTTTCAGTCGTCAATTGTGACAGTTCAATTTTGATTATCTCGACGCCATCTTCGTTGTAAGAAGTAAACAACGAAGAGTACGAAGAAAACCTCGTAATCGTTGAGCGCATAAATAATCATTTTTATTATGCAAATTCTTCTATAAATCATGTCGTTGTGTTAAATTATTCTGTACCTTATCGTGGACTGTAAAAGATTTTACTAAGGATAATCCTTCATAAACTCAAAACTAATTGGCCCGTAGTCATAGTCAAAATAAAGTCGACTTTAAAGTTAGTTGCAGCTTTTTGACATAATGTTCAATGGGATATCTGTCAAAAAAGCTGCAACTAACTTTAAAGTCGACTTTATTTTGACTATGACTACGGGCCATTAACAATAAACACTAAAAATTAAATAATTTAAGAGTTTTGTGAACTAGTAACATTTTCAGATGTGGTGTTGTAAAATCAGCTGATTTCTTTGCCTTACATGTATTTTGTTTTTGCTTTTACTGATTTGACAGCACACCAATGAAAATCAAAAACAAAGTACATGTAAACTTTGTGGCAAATTGAGATTTGACATCTCACCCGCAATACAAAATACATGTGACTGTTGTTTTTGTAATCTAAATTCGCCAGTAACACCACCTTGTATAAATTCACCTTGTTCTCGCGTGATCTTGTATTTTTGGTTCATGGCAAGGCGAATTTAAACAAGGTGGCATGGCGAATTTATACAAGGTGTTGTAAAATCAGCTGATTTCTTCGCCTTACATGTATTTTGTTTTTTCTTTTACTGATTTGACAGCACACTCATCAAAAGCAAAAACAAAATACATGTAAACTTTGGAACAAAATACATGTGGTTGTCGTTGTTGTAATCTAAATTCGCCAGTAACACCACCTAGTATAAATTCGCCTTGCATGGTGGTGTTGTTAGATCAGCTGATTTCTTCGCCTTACATCACGATCCAGCGAAACAAAGGTGGCGCTTCCGCGGACCGCTAGTCCTCTCTTTCCCGATTTGATAGCGTCCACCTTTTGCTGACGTCAATTTATTATTTTTTCGCACTAGTGATGAATACTAAATTTTCGTATTGTACCTAAAAGTAGATACACGTACCTAAATCGTAAACATGTATGTATTTTTATGTGCAGATATTTTTGGTAGTTGGGGGACTACATCTTCCTTTTGTATCATAACAATTTTTCTACTTACATGAAACAATATTTTCCTACGTTCCAAATGTACCTAAAATAATGTGCTCTACCGAATGTAAGTGCAAATTTTAGAAGCTGAAGAGTAGGTACAATTCAAGAACGATAGAATACAAGACTGCGCCAATCGAGCTGAGAGCAACTGGGTGTGACGTCCCATTATTTTGAGAATGAGAGTGTAAAGAATAATTTTGAAGAAGAAGAGGAAGAAGCGAACAAGTGGTACGAAATAGTGATGTAAAACTAGGTTGAATTGTACCTACTCTTCAGCTTCTTAAATTTGAACGTACATTCGGTACAAGCACACTATTTTTGGTACATTTGGAACGTAGTAAAATATTGTTTCAAGTAAGTACGAAAATTGTTATGGTACAAAAGGAAGATGCAGTCCACCACAAACGGCTAATGTCAAAAGCGCCCAACTTTTTTCCTAAATGCGATTATAATGGGCTACTGGCTTGCTGGCGTGATCTTGTATTTTTGGTTGTTGTTGTTGTTGTAGTATTTTTGGTTCATGGTTACTGCTGTTTGCGCCAACTCTGTCTCCCTATATCGTGGAAGTTTATCGCTCATTCTCTCATTCTCGCGCTGTTCGCAGTATTGCCATTTCGACAAAAATGCCACTTTGCGACGTTTTATGCATCGCACCATGATTCAATAATACAAGGTTCGATAAACTGACAGTTGTCTCTCTCGCACCGCTCCCTTAGCAGTGGCACCGTGTTGCTTCTTTGCAAATTTACATGGAAACAGTGTAGCTTTGACGTGAAATAAAAGTATAAGCTTTTGTGCAATATGTTTATTTGTATATGCATATCAAGCATATTTAACTGATGAAAACATAAGCACTGGATGTTTACATCAATCTCATAGTAGTCTTATTTTAATTTTGAGTCATTTTGCAGTTTTTATACGGCTAAATAGCATTTAAATTACGTACTACACGTGGATATATCAATATTACGTTCAACATTTCGTTTAAAATGCCAGATTTCCTGCAAATACATTAGAATTTACAAAAAAAATTTCACTACTAATTGCCTACTTTGCGTACTTTTCTACTACCATTTTCGCAACAAGGGATTGCATTCTTGCCCTTTCTCTGTCCTTCGTAAATCCAACCTTTTGTAAGGGAGTGTCAACCCGCAGCTGTCAATAATTATCTAACCTTGTATTATTGAATCATGGCATCGCACAAATGTTCCTCGTATATTTACCACTTAATGTGGAGCACTATCCCAAAATCACAATAAATATTGGAAGTGTAGGGCTCGCTTAAAAGCTGCTAAATTTTCAAAACATTTCCTTCTAGTTCCAGATTGAAGAATTATTATACGTGAAATACCTCTTATATATAAAATATTATAAAATGCGCCGTTCGTGTGCACCTTCAATGTTAAGGGCACGAGAAGATGAGAAACGCAGGAAGATCGATGGTCTGTTTGAAACTGAACGAAGCAGCGGGGATGAAGTGACCTCAACCACTGGAAATGAGGAATGTTGGGGCACCAGAAATAGAGGAGGTGGTAAATTTGAAAAAGAAGCCGCCAAAGAAAACTTTGATGCATTTAGTTCTAAAATAATTTTTAATGTTGTGTGGCGTGAAATTACAAAAAAGAAGCATAAAACATGGGACGGTGATGGCTTACTAGAAGTGCAGTTGGATGTTCCAAAAGCGGTGCTTAAGGACAGCTCCGGTAGATACATTGGTACCAATACAAAGTTCAAAGCTGATGAGTTAGAAGAAGGCTACCAAATGGTTGTAGGCGGGAAGGAGATTGAATTATTAGAGCAAATTACCGACAGAAATTTATATTTTGCTTTGCGTAAAAAAACAAGCCGATAGTCGCTGGAACGTTGAAGAAGAGCTGCAAAGTAGTGGAGTCGACAAAAAGATAAAGTTGTCTACTTTATACCAAGCACCATGTGCTCTAAAAAATAGTACTGAGTTGAGGGCTGAAAACATACCAACCACAAGCGGAATCCAAAAAAGAAATTATACTGAATCCCTTGAATCAGCTAACCTTAAAGTAATTTTCAATGTCGTCTGGCGAGAAATTACTACAAAAAAGAATAAAACATGGAATGGTGATGGTATATTTGAAGTGCATACAGGTAGTAAGCGAGGTATTCTAAAGAACGAGAGGGGACAGGAAATGGGTACTCTAGAAAAAGTAAATTTAGCTGTATTAGAAGTTGGTACATTTTTGGAAATTGAGGATAAAGAACTAGAAATTTTAGAAATTGTATCACAAGACAGACATGAAAAGGAAAATATTAAGCAGACATCGCATAAAGTACACCGAAAATGTTCACCCAGCGTCATAGTTAACGGTTTATTATTACCTTTCCCACCAGCAGAATATATTACAGTATTGAATACTATGTGTCGACCAATTCAACCGGTCGAAATCTCACCCAAGGTCGCCCAACATTTGCGTCCGCATCAACGAGAAGGTGTCGTCTTTCTTTATCAATGCGTAATGGGATTCAAAAATCCAACTCATCGTGGATGTATACTTGCAGACGAAATGGGCTTGGGCAAAACCCTACAGTGCCTAACGCTGGCTCGTACACTTTTGAAAGAAGGGCCTTACGGAGGTGAACGTGTAATGCAGCGCATCTTAATTGTTACACCCAGCACACTCACTCGAAATTGGGAGCAGGAGGTGAGTAAATGGTTAAAAACTGAGCGCATGTATGCATTTGTTGTGGGTGGTAAACAAAAGTTGGATTGCTATGCACATCAGCAGCATGTTCCATTTGTAATTGCTTCATATGAGAATCTACTTGCAAATGCTTCAGATTTTCAACGTCTAAAATTTGATTTGCTAATTTGCGACGAAGGCCATCGCCTCAAAAATCAGTCTACAAAAATTGTAGCTTCACTTCGAGAACTTAACATTCCTTGTCGTATAATAATTACCGGAACACCTGTGCAAAATGATTTGGGCGAATTCTTTGCCTTAGCCGATTTTGTGAACCCCGGTATTTTTGGCACAAAACAGGAATTTCATTCGTACTACGAGGTTCCATTGCAGCAGAGCCAATGTCCTGATGCTAGTATTGAAGTTAAGAATATAGCGGCACAGCGGACACAAGAGCTAATGCAAATCTCAGAACAATTTGTGCTTCGACGGCTACAGCACGTGAATGGACAGTACTTGCCTAAAAAGTACGAGTATATATGCTTTGTACGGCCATCGGAGCTACAGCAGTTTTTGTTACAAAAAGCACTTCAACTTTATGCCCAACGAAAGGAAACCATTCTAAAAGATCTATCACCGCTTCAATTAATTACTGTATTGCAAAAAATTTGCAATCATCCTTCGTTGGTGGCGCGGACTAAAACCCCTAATGTACTGACGCGCCATTTGGAACGTTGTTTGCCTGATTGGGCGGAAATGGGACCCTTTGATTCCGCGAAATTAGAACTAGTGCAGAATTTACTTGTCGCTTCGGCTGTGCAAAATCAAGAAAAATGTGTTCTAGTTTCAAACCATACTAAAACACTCAATATGTTGCAGGGCTTGTGTGACTTTTTGGACATAAAATGTTTGCGTTTGGACGGATCCACAAATATTGCTCAAAGAAATTCAAATGTCGAAAAATTTAATAGCAACGCAGATGATTCGCTAGTATTTTTACTGAGTGCAAAAGCTGGAGGTGTTGGTCTTAATTTGATAGGGGCTTCAAGGTTAATACTTTTCGACCATGATTGGAATCCAGCGACCGACGCTCAAGCGACGTCACGCATATGGCGCGATGGGCAGCAAAGAGATGTGCACATCTATCGACTGGTGACCGCTGGTTGTATTGAAGAAAAGATATTCCAAAGACAAATTGCGAAAATGTCGCTGGGCGATTGTGTAACGCAAACTATTGCCAGTGGGAGTTTTGATAAAGCCATGAAATTTTCAGCAGATGAGCTTTTAGATTTGTTTAGCTTACAGGAAGATTATTCTAAATGCCAAACACATGAAAGTTTGAATTGCAGATGCAATGGCGATGGAGAGGTAACTCAACGAAAAATGTTTTTTTTTTGTAATTGTAATTTTGTTCTTATTTCTAAGAAATTGGCTCTTGACACAACTACTAGTGCTCGAAAGATGAATGAATTAATGAACTGGAAGCATTATAAACCGCCATTTGACCTTGATTTTTTGGAGGTAAAAATACATACATATTTGGAAGTGACGTGCACACAAACCTATATCTACGTATAATTATATATTTTTTTTGTTTTAGGCGACATGTCTGGACAAAGCGGGCGATAATCTCATGTATGTGTTTACCAATGAGATTGACTTTAGTTAAATAAGTTATTAGTATTTAATTAAGTATATTCAAAATATTGTTAAAAATTTAAGATGAATATGAAGTTCAACCTTAGTTTAACATAAAGGGTTTGCTTGTTCGTGTTATTACCACAGCTCAATACTAGTCCTCGCTTTCTAACGATATATTGCTTCCGAATCGTTGGTACAGGTGCGATTTCAGCTCATTCATTTCGGATTTAATTTCATTTGCTTTCACATCAATCGCAGCAATTTCTTTTAATGTTTCCTCTTTAACCGCAGCCAAAAGTTCCTGTTAGAGAAAATACTACTTCATATAGTTTTACCGAAAAACATTTGTATGCTTTACTTGTGTTTTTGTTAATTTGTGTGTTAAGAAAACTTCGCCAAACAAGAATGGTATCTCTTCATCTTCATCGAAAAGTTCAATTTCGTCCAGCGCTTCCTCCACACTCTTCAAATCATTTTTCTTCATATCCAGCTCCATTTTCAGATCATCCATACGCGCATTATGTTTTGCGAAACGATTAATTTTCTGTTGATCTTCGAAGGATATGTGGACATCATCCTGTTAAGGAATATACATAGATATAAACAAATATTTTAATGCGGTTTTAATATGAGCAATCCTAGACCGATTTGCTTCATTGAGGTTAGGTTTCTTTCAACGATTGGGGTTTTGTAAATCAAAATCTCCATGTCAACTTACCGCCTGGAATACTTTATTGTTGCCCGATGAAACTTTTGCTGCCATTTTCTGATAATATTTTCAACAAATACGCGATTTTATTTCAATAATTATCGCACCTGCGGTGATAAACAATGCAAAATATTCCAGCTAGAATGTCAAATCTTAGGATGTGTTTCATATGCACAAGCTCAACTGTCAACGCCTCAGCTGTTTGCTTTCCTGTCGATAAAGCAGGTTTCATTGCATTTTAACTTTGCGTATGCGTTTCCGGAAATGAGTGTCCGTCGGAAATAACTTTATTTTGCCCTTTAAACCTACTTTATTTTTTATGAATGAGGCCATTCGAATATAAGGTGGTATGTGTATGTTATGTAACAAAATTAATGGTTGACAGAGTGCTACAAAATTGAACATTGAAAATTAGTTCAATTTTTTTTTTTTAAATTGAAGCAGAGAACGACGATAAGGTACCACTGAAGAAGTCGACGTTGCCACTAAGGTCATTAATAGTGTCGCCTTGGTGTCTGCTATTCTATTCCCTGGGTCGTAGCGCACATAATTTTTTGTTGAGTTAACAGTGTGTAATAGTATTCTTATTCCTTAGATCCGGCTTATTGCAAATTAGACCAAATTGCTCTAATATTTCTGGAGAATCGATGTGACCATTGATGACCTTATAGAAGAATACTATGTCTGCGGCTTGCCTGCGATCTGCTAGTCTCGTGATATCAAGCTGTTTGTAAACATCTTCGTGGCTTACGTCAAGACGTCTCTTACGCAAAGAATACGTGATGTGTTTGCAAAGTAGCAAGATGCTGACGATGAGGCACCAGCTAATGCGGAAAACCAAGAAGAACCCGTGAACGAAGAGGCAACACCTGAAGTTGCGAAAGAATGTTCAGTGAAGTCAATGCCTCTGCTAAAGTTGCTGGCGATAAATCATTCGGACCCATTTACCGTTATACAAAAAGTAAATCGTGTCATGGCTGCATCCAGCTAACAGTTTTGATACTAACCATTTGGAGAAATTAAATGCACCTGCTAGTGCAAGTTTTGAGGAGTCACATGCCATAGAAACAGAAACGGCAACCACAATAATTTGGGAGCATAAAAGGCCAAAAGAGCAAGCCGAGTTTCCTGAGATATGGCGTAAGAGGAAGAAACTAACACGTTGAAGGTGGAGAAAGTTCTGAGGGTCAATTGGATTGGATTTCCTGTCCACAACAAATTTAAAATAAATATTTTGAAGGAAAAAAATAAATATGTATGGCAGTATGTTGCAATATCTTTGAAGATGGATACATATCTGCCTGGGTAATAAAATTAAATATAGTAAAAACGTTTAGCCTATTTCATAAATTGCCAGCGACAATTTCGCCACGACAGGCATATTCCGTATTGTCAGTGACAATTCGACAGTTTGGTGGATGTTTTTTTTTCATAAAAGCTGTTGTCGACCCGGTTTCAGTTCCATGAAAAATTCCAATTAAGAAGTGACAAAATTGTCGTTGTCGGGTTTTAAAATTGTTGTTGACGAAATTGTCGCCAGTCATATGAAACTTATATCTAATTCGGATATAATAATTGCATATGCATTTTTTTAGTTTTTACAAATATTAAAGTATTGAAATGCGTGTAATAATAATATGGACAAATTTACAAAACTCTCCTAATTCTTGTAAGCGGGCTGTACCCCTGACGGAAAGCTATTACCAAGCAAGATTAAAAACTTATTCATATTTTCTGCGGCTTTAATTTTTAGCATACATATGCATAAAAAAAAATTACAATAAAAAAATTAAACAAACTAAATAATTACTGAAAATTAGTTTTACGCGTCTGATAATTTATGTATTTCTTTTTGTTAATTCATATGTATATTATAATTGATACACGGGTATTAAACGAAATTTATCAACAAACTAAACAGTGATTCAACTTAAAATAAAACTGAATGAAAGTTTACGCCCATAATTACCTAAAAACAGTATGTACATGACACCTGTGGTGAATTAATTCATTGTTTTCTTTGGTTTAAGATTAACATGAAATCGCACATATGTATGTATGTACTCGGACACACGCACGTATGTATAAATATACATATCATTGAACGTAAACAAAAAAATATGTTTATGTATATGTTTGCTTACAAAAAATTTTCATACGACTACAACCAATTAAACAAAATCACTATGAATCTAGATTAAAAAAATCTATATGTTTGTATATGTACAAAAAATATATATATGTAGTATGTATGCACATTTAATTAAGTGGTAAAAGTTCAAGAAACGAACTAACCGTCCAACAAATTAAAGACAGTATATCGCTACTTAATTCCCAAAGGTCCCTACCAACACTTTTTT